TTTTCCTCAAAACATCAAGTCCCAACCCAACAGTTCAGTCCTGAGAGTACCTGGTGAGCTCTCCTGTATCCAATTTCCCAGTGTCACCCTGGAGGTGTGGGATTAGAGGGATACAACCAGCTGCTTTCTGCACCATGACATGGACAAACATCAGATGGATTTAACCAAAGGGGGGGAATGAAACAACCAGTTCCAGGGTCAGCAAAAAGAAAGGGGGGACAAAGAACACCAAGAGATTCATAGGAAAAGAGGGAGGCAAAGCCACAAACATCAAGGAATTCCAGGCCAGGTTGGACGGGGCTTGGAGCAACCTGGGATGGTGGAAGGTGTCCCTGCCCATGGCAGGGGTGGGACTGGATGGGCTTTAAGATCCCTTCCAACCCAAACCAGTGTGTGACGTTCCCTTACATGAGGTGACCAGTTCTGAACACTTGGCCAGTCCTTGGTACGTGGGGATGGGATATTGGGAAGGAATTCCTGGCTGGGAGGGTGGGGAGGCCCTGGAATGAGTCTCCCAGAGAAGCTGTGGCTGCCCCTGGATCCCTGGGAGTGTCCAGGGCCAGGTCGGAGCAACCTGGGCTAGTGGAAGGTGTCTCTGCCTTCAACCCTTCCAGAGGGTTGAACTAAATGATCACTAAAGGTCCCTTCCAATCTATGGAGTGACAGGACAAGGGGGAATGGCTTCCCACTGCCAGAGGGCAGGGATAGATGGGATATTGGGAAGGAATTCCCGGCTGGGAGGGTGGGGAGGCCCTGGCACAGGTTGCCCAGAGAAGCTGTGGCTGCCCCTGGATCCCTGGAAGTGTCCAAGCCAGTTTGGAGCAACCTGGGCTGGTGGAAGGTGTCCCTGCCCATGGCAGGGGGTGGGACTGGGATGAGCTTCAAGGTCCCTCCAACCCAAGGAATTCCAGGAGAACGTGGCTTGCGTGGGGTTGCAGCAGTTTATGAGACCCATCGATACATTCGGGAAAAATAAAATTCCCAGCTCATTTTCTCCCAACTCAACTGTGGAGGAGAGCTGGTTATCCCAAAAAGCTGAACACCCCACGGGTGCCACTCACCCCCCACCCTGGGCCCTGAGCAGCCCTGCTGGGGTGGTTTGTTTTACCATCCTGGCTCCATGTGAGGATCCCACCCCCAGGCCCCAGAGCCGGGAGGCTCCTCCAACGCCGCGGGAGCCACCGGAGCGTTCCAGGTGGAAAACCTGGGACGTTTCATCCCCCCCTGTTCCTCCCTCCCCTCCCTCCACGCCCGCGCTGTTTTCCGTCTGAAATTGGATTCTAAACACTTCAGAGAAGGGACAACGGCTCCCTTTGAACTCTTGGGAGCCAAAGGAGACGGGGAAGGAAAAAAAAAAAAAAAAAAAAAAAAAATCTCATTTAGAATTCACAAAACAAACAACAAGCAACAACAAATATCACCTGAGCGAGGCACCAGCTGTCAACCTGCTCCACACCAGGAAATAAATTAATGAAAAGGCAACCTGATGGTAATTTAATGATTCTCCAGCTGTCCTGGCATTATACAACCAGGCTGCCTCAGGATGCCCTCAGCTCCCGGGCTCTTATGAAATGTCTGCAAAGAAGCCTTGAGGAGCCATAGCCTGAGTTGCTCCTTGTCTTCTCCGAGCTGGAGCTCCAGGTTTCAAAGGAATTCAGGCTTGCTGAGGTGCCCAGAGCTCTCCCAACCCGGTTCTGCCCTTCCCAAGGGTGCTCAAATCCAGCCAAAAAAACCATCTTGCCACCCCTGCACTGCAAAGATAAAGGGTTTTTTTGTCTCTGGATTATAATTTTTATTCCAGGTGGGTGTCAGGGAGGCACAGGATGAGCAGCTCCTGATCCATGCTGGGCACATCCATCCATCCATCAGTGGTGCCAACACCCTGGGAAGGGACAAACTTGGATTGGATGCAAATCCCAGCCTTTCTCCTGGGACCAGGTTAAGAATCTAATTGAACCTGCAACTAACTGGACATTTTAAGGAGGACTTTAGAAATATCTGGGAACAGCATTTCCCTGTCCTGTGTCTTCTCCTTGCTCTCCAAAGCTGTTTCCCTCAGGAAAGGGAAGGATCACAAGCCAGAAATCAGGGACAGCACAAGGAGGAATATTACAACTTTTATCAAGCCCAGAGATAAAATTTAAGTGACATATGAAGTGATTAAGCCAAACAATAAATTCAGAGGACCTACAAGCAGGGAGCTCTGACCTCCCTTGGAGCTCCTCTCCCAGGCCTGGGAGCTGGGAATTCTCAGGATGCTGGTGTTGACCATCTCCTTCTCCCAAGACACAAGGGGGTTGTCCCACTCCTGCCCCACCTCTGATGGGACCAAACCAAAGACAATTATGAAATTCAGCTGTGCCTCACCTCCCAAAACCTACACAAAAAACCCCTGATCATCTCCCCCCTCATCAACTCACCCCCGGCAGCAGCACCGAGAGCTCGGAGGGAAACTGCTCAATAAACCGGAGCTAATTAACTAATTAATTGATTTGTGGTGCAAATTCAAAGCTGAAGGTGAGGGGTTTTTTTTCCCCCCATTCCTTTAATAAATTAACTTTGGAACCATCCAAGAGCACACCAGGTTGAGCCACCTGGGTGACAATGGCTGGGGGCTCCCACCGGACACCACGTTGGGTTTTATCATCCCAGGGGATTTGAGGAGCAATTATTCCCTGCTGCTGAACAAGCAGAAGTTGCCACTTCCCCAATATCTTGTGGTGACCTCGAGGACCTACTGGAAACTTGGAGAACAGCTCAGACACCAATCAGACCTTTAGAGACCAGATTTGGGAGATTTCTGCTAAGGCTGCACCAAAGGCAGACAGTTCAGCTGGAATTCTGCCTGTTCACCTCCCCCTCACCAGGGATTCCTTCAGGGAAGAAAGGACAAGAAGTCATCCCACCTCCTCAAAAACTTCTCCGTTTCATGGAATCATGGAATGGTTTGGGTTGGAAGGGGCTTTAAAGACCATCCAGTTCCACCCCCTGCCAGGGGCAGGGACACCTCCCACTAGCCCACGTTGCTCCAACCTGGCCTTGGACACTTCCAGGGATCCAGGGGCAGCCACAGATTCTCTGGGCAAGTTGTGGATGCCCCATCCCTGGAGGTATCCCAGAGGTTGGTGCTGTGTTAGCTCAGGAGGGATTAATGAAAGTTTCCACTTGGAAACAAGCAAACCTCAAAATTCCCCCACTTTGAAATTCTTTCATCACAGAATCATGGAATGGTTTGGGTTGGAAGGGACTTAAAATTATCTTGTCCCACCCCCTGCCATGGGCAGAGACACCTTCCACTAACCCAGGTTGCTCCAAGCCCTGTCCAACCTGGCCTTGGACACTTCCAGGGATCCAGGGGCAGCCACAGCTTCTCTGCCCAACCTGGCACAGGGCCTCTCCACCCTCACAGCCAACAATTCCTTCCCAATATTCCATCCATCCCTGCACTCTGGCACTGGGAAGCCATTCCCTGTGTCCTGTCCCTCCCTCCCTTGTCCCCAGTCCCTCTCCAGCTCTCCTGGAGCCCCTTCAGG